TGCATTTGCCTATAGGGTAGAAAGACTAATAATGGAAGAGAGCTCTGGTGGCCTACTGGCAAGAAACTGCACTGCAATCCCAAACGTGGTTTGAATCCACCAGATGCTCTGCTGGAGGAGGGGCAATCTCCTCCTGTACCATTCAGATCCAATTTGAAAACACACACAAAATAAAACTTTTAAAAAAAGACTAATGGAAATGAGAATCATAGGGAGGAAGTGTGGTTAAAAGTGGGTTTTTTAATTTACACTATTATAATGGGGGGGGAAGGGCTCAATCATGTTAAAATGGTCCACCACAACAAGATAAAGGTAAATAATCCAACTGAAAAATGAGCACAGGATATGAACAGACACTTCATCAAAGAAGACATTCAGATGGCCAACAAGCACATGAAGAAATGTTCAAAATCCCTCGCTCTAAGAGAGATGTAAATCAAAACAACTATGAGATATCATCTTGTCCCAATAAGAATAGCAAAATTTAATAGAACAGCAAACATCAAATGCTGGTAAGGTTGTGGAGAAACTGGAACCCTTATTCACTGTTGGTGGGAATGTAAAATGGTGCAACCACTATGGAAGGCTGTATGGTGCTTTCTCAAAAACTTACAAATAGAAATACCATTTGACCCAGCAATTCTACTACTGGGAATTTACCCTAAAGAAACCATAACCACCACCCAAGTAGATATATGCACACCCATGTTTATTGCGTCTTTGTTCACATAGCAAAGAGCTGGAAACAACCCAAGTGCCCATCAACAAACAAATGGATAGAGAAGCTGTGGTATAGTCACACAATGGAATACTATACAGCATTGAAAACCAGGAACTCATGAAATATTATTCAAAATGGGTGACCCTGGAGGACATTATGCTGAGTGAAATATCACAGTCACAAAAAATATTGCATAGGGCCACTGTTGTAAAATGGGACTGACGTTGGGGTTGAGAAAAGACAGAGAAGGAGGGGTGGAATGATGTACACTGCATTGAAACAGATGAGGGAGAGAACTGTTTAAAAGGGATATATAAGTAGGTATTATTGACATAACAGGAATCCAGAATGAAGGCTGCACAGTAGAATGGACTTGAGGGGAGGGGTTGCATAACAATGAAAGAGTTTTACTTTTCAAGGAGAAGAGTGTAACAATGAATGACTGGAAACCCTAAGTTTCTATAAACTTTCATTAAAATGAATTAAAAAATTTAAAAAATACTTGCCAATGGTCAATATTGTAAATTTCTCTCTCTTCCTTTTATAGGAGCTCTGGTGCTGGTATCGTGGGTATGTATTACACTGCTAATTCACTCTAGTCCTCAGCTTCCTGCCAAGAACTTAGCACACTAGGTACCAAAGTGCAACCTGGAGGCAAAGGGACCTGGGTCGGGGAAGGTGGAGACTGGAAGCAGCAGAGAGGGCAAGAGAATGGGACTCTGTGTGGGGCTGACACGGGGTGCCTCAGCCTGAGACAATAAGGGAACTCCCCACCACAACAAGATAAATAAACCAATCACAAAATGGGCACATGATATGAACAGACACTTTACCAAAGAAGACATTCAGATGACAAACACATGAAGAAATGTTCAAAATCCCTCGTTCTAAGAGAGATGCAAATCAAAACAACTATGAGATACCATCTCATCCCAGTAAGAAGAGCAAAATTCAACAGAACAGCAAACAACAAATGCTGGTGAGGTTGTGGAGAAACTGGAACCCTTATTCACTGTTGGTGGGAATGTAAAATGGTGCAACCACTATGGAAGGCTGTATGGTGCTTTCTCAAAAAGTTGGAAATTAGGGAGCTCTGGTGGCCTAGTGGCAAGATGCTGCACTGCAAAACCAGAGGTACGTGGTTCAAATCCACCAGATGCTCTGCTGGAGAAGGAGGGGGCAATCTCCTCCTGTACCAGTCAGATCTGATTTGACAGTACATGTAAACATAATACAATAAAAATTAAAAAGAAATTAAAAAAAAGTTGGAAATAAGAAATACCATTTGACCCAGAAATTCCACTACTGGGAATTTACCCTAAAGAAACCATAACCGCCACCCAAGCAGATATATGCACACCCATGATTACAGCATCTTTGTTTGCAATAACAAAGAGCTAGAAACAACCCAAGTGCCCATCAACAAATGAATGGATAGAGAAGCTGTGGTATAGTCACACATGGAATATTACACAGTACTGAAAAGCAAGGAACTCATGAAATATACAAAATGGGTGACCCTGGAGGACATTATGCTGCGTGAAATATTTCTCACATAACACCACTGTTATAAAACAGGACTGACATTGGGGTTGGGGGAAAACTAAAAAAAGAGGGGATAAATAATATACACTGCATTGAATAGATGAGGGAGAGAACTGCTTAAAAGGAATATATGATTAGGTATTACTTGCATGACAAAAGTGCACTTTACTGCATAGTAAAGTGGACTGAAGTAGGGGTGGGGAATTATACAATGATGAAAGATTTTCTTTTTTTTTTATTCAGAGAAAAGTAAACTAGGGGATGGGTGGGCAGAGAGGAAAATATGCAACAGTGAATGAATGGAAATCCAAGTTCTCTGTGAACTTTCATTAAAATCTCAATTAAAAAAAATAGAACTCCCAGAAAACCTGGTCCCACTCTGCATAGGCTGATGACAGATAGGGCTAGATCAGAGCCGGCAGGAGCTGGGGAGTGAAGAAATGAAACCAAAGACTTTGGCAGTGAGGGGGTTCCAGAGACCCCAAGAGTTGGACTGGATGGGACACCAGATGACAGACAGGAAGGCTTCTGATGGGGGGCCATGGCAGCCTGGGGATGTGGCTGCTGCTCACAGGAGAGAATGGCCTTGCTGGGTTCTAGGTTGCCCTATCTCTCTACCTCCTACCTCTCCATCTTTCCCTCATTAACAAGCATTTTTAAAATGTAGTCAGACACAAGGGAGCTCGGGTGCCCTAGTGAGGTAGGGAGTTGTGCTGCCAATCCAAAGGCACGCTGCACAAGAAGAGACGGGTCATTTCCTCCATGGGATTTACAGCCTCTGAAAAACCTCTGGAAGGTCAGCTATGAGTCCATTTCAGCTCAATATCAGTGAGTTAGTTAATTCATTCAGACACAGGCCAGGGTGGGAGAGGCATGTGCTGGAGTCCTTAGAGGGTACCAGGGCCGGAAGTCAAGGAAGGCCTCCTGGAGGGGGCATCCATCCTGAACTGAGGTTCAAAGGGTGAGGAGGAGCTATTGTTGTGAAGGGAGGGGAAACAAAAGCCAGGGCGATGAGAGACATAACAGCTCAGCCGCAGTGGGAGGCACCACAGCCCTGAAGCTCAGCAAAAAGGCAGTGTGTGGTATGAGGCAAATGGAACGCCTGTGACTAAAGTCTTCGGTGGCTGAATGGGGGGCATGGAAGACACGTCCCATGAAGCTCTGCCCGTTGCGCTCAAAGCCTCGGCCAGTGGGCCAGTCGGCGAGCTGGATACACATTCGTGAATTCCTTATCGGTCCCATGCCTGGTATGAAGAGGGTACCCAACAGACTCTGGTTGTTATTAGTGGGGGGAGCCAGGTACTGGGAGGGCGAGTCTGGGTGGGCTGTCTTGAGGCAGTGGGGACAGATAGCTCTGTGTCTCCACAGAAGCACGCCCAGTGATAGTGAATTCTAAAGACACAGCTATTGGCTCCACATTGAAAAACACAAACCCCAAATGAGAAGCTGGCCAATCATGGTCTGGTGCCCATCTGTCCACCTGAAGAGGCAAACCCTGTGCAAGGAAATAGCCTCTCGAGGGCTGGCCAGCGCCTCCCGCTGGGGCGGACGGAGGGAGAGGAGCGCGTCTCAAGGTCTGTGAGGGAGTGAACTACTAATAATGGTTTCCAGGGTCCTTTGGTGCATTAGACCATGAGCCACGAGCTCAAAGGCTCACAGACACCACACAGCCTGACCGGCGCCGAGGACGGATGGGGCTGGCACGCTCGCCCCAAGGGGAAGCCCATTTAGTTCTTTCTCTGCTCACACCGAATGACTTTTTGGCCACCTGTTTACAGCTGAACTGGCACCAGGACTCTCTAGAATGCATGAGAACACACTGCCCTTCCTGACCCACTAGAACACAAGGCCATTTTCTGAAAAGGCATCTTGCCAGATGAGCCGGAATCAGGGTGTGGGGCAAGGATTTGAACTCTTGGCCCTTTGTGTACACCCACACGCATACCGTCCATGGGGGGGGGACTCCTGGTTTCCTCACCTGTAGATAGAGGAGCAGTACACCCACCTCCTGGGTTATTCCAGCTCCTAGAACATTGCATGTGCCTGTTTCCTCTCTTGGGCCTCACTCTACCCCTCTGTACAATGGGGAGGCAGGATTTCAAGGCTTCCCAGGCTTTCTGGGAGCTGCGTGGCTGGCAGCTCAGAGCAGTGCACAGGGACCAACTGGGCCCCCATGGCCCATGGAGGGAGCGTGGTCACCAGGGCTGCCCTTACCTGTGCTGTGAGCTGGATGGGCTGGGAGAGGGTTAGCTGTGGGGTCCCGGGGGGCTGGCTGGCAGGCTGTGGTGGTGGCAGGTCACCTCCCCCAGAGGAAGCCGGGGGCTGCGAGGTGGAAGAGGAGGCAGAGGAGGAGGAAGAGGCAGAGGAGGAGGCGGCGGCGGCAGCGGCGGCGGCATTGGCAGCGGCGGCGGCATTGGACTGCTGCACGGCGGCAGCCAGGAGCTGGGCCTGGGCCTGCTGCAGGAGGAGCTGCTGCTGGGCCGGCATCAGCGCCGTGAGCTGTGGGCAGTGGGCCCAGCGGAGCAGGCGGGCAGGGAGGAGCAGAGAAGGCAGAGAAGGGTTAGTGCCTGGGCCAAGCAGGTCAGGGGCCAAGTCTTACAGGAGAGAAGACAGCGAGGGGAGAGGCAGGCATGAGAGAGGGGCCGTGGCCCTAATGAGGCGTCTGGTGCCAACACTCCTGAGACTTGACGGGAGACAGCAGGCCTGTGTCCCCCCACCTCTCCCCAATACTCACCCCAGCTAGCTGACTGCCTGTCAACATGAGTTGGGCCTGGGGCAGATGAGGCTGAACCGGCTGCGGGGGCGGGGGTGCTGCTGGGGTTGAGTCACCACTGGGGTCTTCAGCCTTGATCTGGGGGGGAGAGAGGCAGGGTCCAGGACCCCAGAATGTTAGGTGGAGGCCAGAGAGAATGCCCACCTGTGAACCAAAGAAGAGGGCATGTGTGGGGTGGAGGGTGGCAGCCTGGGCCGACCCAGGAAGAGGGAGGTGATACAGGCCAGGCTGCTGCTTCTGACCTGGCCCTGCCCGGCACAGCAGCCTCAGGCCACCCTCTCTTTTCCTCATCACCTGCACCCTGGCTGCCTCCAGAACCAGGTCTCCCTGTACCGTTCATGATCCCCCTCCTGGGGTCAGTCTCCCCGTCTGTCAAAGTAGAAACAGCACCACTGGGGGCCCTGGGTCCCACACCCCTCTGCTCTGGCCCAACGTGCTCCTCACGTGGTTGTCCACTGGAGCCAGGCTTAGAGCACGGTATGCTTGAAAGTAATGGCTTTAAAGCAGGGACCACGAATTCAAACAGCCAGGCCGAAGAGAGCGAGACCGTGCTGATGTATGACGAGGGCAGATGTTGGGGGGATGGCTGATGCTGCCATTTGGCTCCAAACAGCTGCTCATTTAAAAATCTGGGATGATTGAGCAAAGTATCTCTGCTGTCCTGATGGGGACCCACCTTTCAGCCCCCACCCGCCTCTCTGAGCATGAATGTGAGTGCACCCCACATCATACACCCAGGATAGATCTGAAGGAGCTGACAAGGTAAAGTCAGACAAGGGTGGCTTTGCCTGAAAGGTCTGTAGGGTGGCAGAGAGGAGGACATGAGGGGCACGGTGTATGAATCACATTCTCCAGCCTAGAGACAACAGGGACCATTCTGCCAAAAAGGGAGGTTGAGGACAGTTAACTTGCGCAAGATGACACAGCGAATTGGTAGGAGGGTGGCATATGGAACTCAAACAGGCCAGTAAAGCCTCGGTGACCAAGTGACACATCTCAAATGATGGGAGACCAAGGACAGAAAGTTTAAGAGACAGCACATATACAGGGTGGAGTAAAGAGGTCAAGAGGAGTCAGGGCAGTGGCCAGCGCTGGTTAGGGAAGGTTGGCTCTGGTGACAGGATGGGTTGTGCTGGGGAGACCCACAGAGCACTGTACTGGGGATGGCGTATGCATTTGCAACATGGATCAAATTTTAAGGAAAAAGTCTTAAAAATACAACATTGAATGCCAGGGTGAGAAGACAGGGGTTTTTTTGTGCTCTTTCATTCCATTTGGTCAGTTTAAGAAGAAACTCTATTTAACTTCACAAAATAAAATGTGCATGAATGGTTGAATAGGAGATCGGCTTGCTCTGCTGACTCGTTCATATCACACACACGCCAAAAGGAAAAAGATGAGGCTTCCCTACGGAGCAGGGATGTTTTCAACACCTCTTCAACACTGGCTGATCTCCCTAATTAACTAAGGGAAACCAGGCTTCAGGTCTTGACCTTCCAGCTGGTAAGAGTCTCTGGGTAAATTTTAAACAGCCAATCTATTTCTTCCATGGCAAGTGATTCTGGTTTTCTATTAATAATGTTTCCACTTGGAAAAAAAAACCCAAACACCAAAACTCAGCACATTTCTTTTAGCTACTGAAAAAGTGAGTCAATTCATTAAGCTCTATGTTTATGGGATCAGACTGACAACAGCAATTGGAAAGAACAGACAGGAAACTTAGGGGCAGTGGGTTAATGCTAATGGGGGAGGAACAATCCCGAAAAGAGGGCGAAGCCTTGCTCAGCTTGCAGTGTCGCTGAGCTGTGCTCGTGGAAACCTGAACTGCCCACCTTTCTTCTGCAGAGCAACTGTGGGATTCGAATAGGCAACCTTTGGGTTGGCAGGACAACCAACTCCTTACCCACTAGGCCACCAGAGCTCATAACAAAATCGAGCAAGTTATTTTTTTTTTAAAAAAGGAGGAGTGTTCACAACAAAATAGAATAAAGTATTTTTAAAGGGGTTGAGAGGTCACTTCATGAGCTGGGAGCTGGCCGTTGTTGAAGTCAATGGTTGGGGCTGTGGGTGTTTCATTGTACTCTACTTCTGAGTCTGGCCTACATTTTCCGTAATAAAAGTGGTGGTGGTTTTAATCAACCCAATTAGAAAAACTGATATAAATTCATGTACAAGGGGGGGCAGTTCAGAATCTCAAGGGGAGTACCACAACCTTTGCCTTTTGAGGACCAATGACAGGAAACACCAGAGAGAGAGTGACAGAGAGAAAAAATAAGGAGCAGGATGAGGGTGGCCAGAGACCATATATTGCATGGGGTTGGGGCAAACCCAGGAAAACAATGATCCAGTTTCCCCAAAGAGAAGTTGGAGCAGCTGCTAGGGAAGAAGAGAAACTGTAAAAATGAGATTGAGCCAAGGAGGGAGTTGGGGGAGGAGGGCAGAGAATGGACACACCCTGGGGGTGGAGGGGGCACACTATGAGGCTGGGGGCCCAGGATGGACGAGGCTGGGGGCCCAGGATGGACGAGGCTGGGGGCCCGGGATGGACGAGGCTGGGGGCCCGGGATGGACGAGGCTGGGGGCCCGGGATGGACGAGGCTGGGGGCCCGGGA